GCCCTGGCGCGGGGATGCGTGCCAGGAATAGCGCTCTGGGAACACGGCGAACACAAAGTGGCCTACAGTTGGCTCCGGACATTCAGAATGTGGCCCGGGAGTGGTGTTCTGGGAACACGAAGAACACGAAGTGGCCTACAGTTGGTTCCGAACATTCAAAGTGTGGCCCGGGAGTGGTGTTCTGGGAGCACGAAAAACACGAAGTGGCCTACAGTTGGCTCTGGGCATTCAAAATGTGGCCTGGGAGTGGCGTTCTGGCAGCGCGAGAGCCCAAAAGTGGCGACAGATAGAGGAATTGGATGACCCGCTCGGATTAGTAACATGATCCGCGGGCCCCATAGGGAGGGGGCTCCCGCTTGAGACTTCCTTGCAATTCACTCACAGACGAGGCCCATGTGGCCTGGGAATGGCGTTCTGGCAGCGCGAGAGCCCCAAAGTGGCGACAATTAGTAACATGATCCGCGGGCCCCATAGGGAGGGGCCCCCCGCTTGAGACTTCCTCGCAATTCATTCACGGACGAGGCCCATGTGGCCTGGGAATGGCGTTCTGGTTGCGCGAGAGCCCCAAAGTGGCGACAGTTACAGGAATTGGATGACCCGCTCGGATTAGTAACATGATCCGCGGGCCCCATAGGGAGGGGGCTCCCGCTTGAGACTTCCTCGCAATTCACTCACAGACGAGGCCCAAGGCGAGTGAGTGAGTGAGTGACTGACTGACTGTCTGACTGACTGACTGGTGATGATGATGATCATCACGCTCTCTCACGCGCACACGCATCATCATCATATGTCAGTGCTGATGAGTCAGTGAGTGAGTGAGTGAGTGAGTGAGTGAGTGAGTGAGTGAGTGAGTGAGTGAGTGAGTGTGTGAGGGATGATGAGTGAGTGAGTGAGTGAGTGAGTGAGTGAGTGAGTGAGTGAGTGAGTGAGTGAGGAATGATGATGATGATGATGATGATGATGATGATGATGATGATGATGATGATGATGATGATGATGATGATGATGATGATGATGATGATGATGATGATGATGATGATGCTGATGATGATGATGATGATGATGCTGATGCTGATGATGATGCTGATGATGATGATGATGATGATGATGATGATGGTGGGTTCCTGTTCCTGCGCGGGGTGTCCGGAGAAAACAAGAACCCCACTTTGGGTGTGGGGAAAAAACGAACTCTCCCTATGCCAACGGGCGCCCTGTGGGATTCTGTCCGAGGTCATTTTCGGTTCGACCATGACGCAAGCCGTTTTTGCCCCAAAGTTTTGGCGATCTCGGAGTGACAGCTTGTGTACTGGGTGTCCGATCGGCGGAGGCCCAACGGTGCCGTACTGGTCCAAGCGAGGGCCGTCGGCGCCCGAGTCGTCTTTCTCATCTTTCCTGGCATTTGCTAAATGCATTGCAGACGCCAGGGGTGACGCCGACGAGATCTAATCCAGTTCAGGCTTGAGCAACTAAGACCTGACAGCGAACTGCAACTGCAGCGGCTGCCAGCATTATCACTCCATCGAGCAGAAGACGCGGCACTGAGCCCCAGGACGGCCTTTATAGGGGACATTTTCGGACACGTGGGAGCGTGGACTTCCAACCACGACCCGCCCTCTCCCCCCCGAGGTTTCCAGAAAAGTCGCGGTGCGATCCCCAGGAGCGCCCAGGAATTTCAGGAATCTTGGGCTTGGGGCTCTTGAAATATCATTTGCACTGCCAGATTTTGAAGAAGTGGGTTGGGCCCGAGGACGCTCTGGTGGGCGGGCGCCTCGGCGCTGACGGCCGCTCTGGACGCCCGATTGGGCTTCGCCGAGAACCTCAAGAAGAGGCAGCGCTGGCATGACGACGGCACCGCCGAACACCTCGTGATTTGGGCGGCGCACGCAGCTGCCGACCCGCCGCTCCCTGCCCGGCAGGACGGGCGGGACACCTTACGGACACGCTGCGGACATTCCCAGGCGGCATCGGGGTGGGCCAGAGGCTCGGCGTCATCTGCGTCGCGACCGTATTGGTGGGCGGCCCCGTGCATCGAGGTCCTGCCGGCCTCCCTGATGGCGAGCACGTTCAGCGCCATCGCCAACACGCGGTGCTCGTGGTGGTATCAACGCCGCTTCTGGGCCGACAGAGTGGCCGCGCACCCTCAGCACGGCACGGCCTAACGTCCTGCGAGCGGCCGCTGACCTGCCAGACTCGCCGCTCCTGCGGGCCGCTGTCGCAGCGCACGCCAGAGTGCTGAATCTTGTCCCAGTCTGGGGCGCCAGCGGCCGGGTGGTTTGGTTGCGCTCGGCGCACGACCTCGACGGGCGGGCGGCGGCCGCGGCATGGCGGCCGCGCCGGCCAACATGCTCTTCGACGCCAGCAGCGAGCGCGGCCAGCACGTCCTGCGAGTCTGCGCGAGGGCCACGCTGCTGCAGCCTGCGGCGCCGTCCCGGCGACGGTGGGACGAGGAGTCCATCGAGGCTGGTGCGGAAGTCTCAGCAGGCAGCGCCGCACCCTCCTGTCGATATGGCGGGGCGGAACTGCGTGGACCTGCGCGCGCCGGTGGCGCCACGGCGATCAGCAGCGGTGCCCCTGGTACCCGCACGCGCAGGCGTCGGCCCGCCACTGGTGGGCTGAGGGCTGCTTTCAGAGTCGTTCCGGAGTGGTGGGCCCAACAGCCGCGTGTCACAGCCAAGACCTGCTGGGTTACGCTTAGCGCTGACCCGAGCCCCCGGCGGCGAGCACAGCTGCAGATCGCCCGAGCACCGCGACTACTCGCGGGGCGCTGGACCCCCCCGGCAGGCTTCCGGAGGCAAGCTGACGGAGGGCACCCGGCTCGTGCTGGCACGGCGCGCGGCTTTGAGGCTGCGTTCTTCTCATGTCTGACACCCGACGGTTTTTTCTGGGACGTCGCTTGCCCAGCCTGTTTTTACGGGAGGAACCGCCACCCAGACGTTTATTTTTGTGCTAGCAACGACGCTCCACTCAGTGTCTCGCGGCACGGTGGCGGATGCAGCGCAGCTTGTCTCCACCTTCCAATCCGTTGGATTGCCCGCCCCGTATCCGATGACGTGGCGACCGAGGCCGCACTTGAATTGGCAGTTCGATGCACTTTTATTTTGCCTCAGCCAGCGAGCTGGGGAGGGAAAAAGCCAGCAGTTCCAGGCATCCTCTCCCCGAAGGGCCGCATTCGACGCCTCGCACCGTCTGTATGGACTTGCACGCATGCCACCCTTTGGCGCGGCCGGGGGAAGTTAGGGCACGCAGATGATGGGGAGGGAAGGTAGAAAGAAACGGAGGGAAGGAGGTCAGATGGAAGGAAACAGAGAGAGAGAGAGGGAAAGAGAGAGAGAGAGGGATATGCGAACACAATCGCCTATTTGAAACTTAGGAGCAGCAAAGAGAACACGAGCGCCTAACGACCACCTGCGAGGTCTCAGGCCTCCTTAGAATCGCTGGCTCGCTGCCCTCGGTCACAGGATGATGGGCCTGTAGCAGGATGTCTGTTGCTTCTTCTCCAATCCATCCGTCCATTCTCCGACCAGCCCAGCCTGGATGCAAATATGCATGATGTCCAGGTTGCAAGCGTGTTGCGTTCTTGATGGTGTGTGGAAGTCAATGTTAGCATGGCCACGGCACCATTCATTCGGAGCGTTGGTTTCAGGGTGTCTTTCCTGCGTGGACCACGGGGACCTCCCTTGATAACCACCTGTTGGAGTCACAAAGAAGCGCAGGGCCTTCCAGCCACGGGCTAGGCCAGTCGAAGCTGCGCTACCATTGGGTGTCTTCAGGGTGGACGCTTGCAGCCTCGTGGTTCATTGACGCTTCAGGTCGAAGAAGGAGACTAACAAACTGAATAAGCATAAACTGTCGGAGCTCCGCGCGAGCCTCCGAAAGTTGATTGCCATGTAGTTCGTCTCTCCTTTAGTCAAAAACACAGGTGTACGACAGGCCGAGCGCACAAGCGATCAGATGGAGAGATACGAGCCAGCGCGCGTCTTGAAGAAGCGATGCGATATTACAAGCGTAGGTTGTGGCACGGGTGGGACGGATAGCAGGTGAAACATTCAGAACATTTCAGCGAGCGCAAACATTCCAGCTGTCTGCAGACGTGGTGAGTTACAGCATGGGAGACGTCATTGCCATCCCGCACCAGAAGGAACCTCTGCGAGACATCATGTAGGACTTGCTATGCTGCGCGTGCTGGTTGGAGCATGCCGCGAAAGCGCGGGATGCCAGGATCGTTGGACAGGTTTAGAGAACCTCCTTCGGCCTTTACAGCAGGGGGGGGGTCATTACACGTGGTCCGTGTCAAGCGTCGCCCTGTAGCTGGGCGATAGGAGCCCCTGGATTCGTCTGGTGCTCCCCACCTGGGCTATCCGCCCCGCGTTGCAGCCGCGGGCTCCTGCATGGAGGCTCGAACCAAATTTGCGTCTGCAACTGCCAGGCGGGTGCCCAACTCGCCGAGGGCGGGGAGCACGTCGCAGCCGCATCTCTTGACGAAGGGGTATCGGCCTGCTGTTCGGACAGTAGAGCGACCAATTGCTGAAGCCAGCGCGACCGCAAGGCAAATGCGCATGGGGCTTGCTCTCCAGAATTCCGGACGGCGATTTGCGGAGGATTGGCGTGCATCGCACTTCTACGCGCCAAGGCTCTGTAGGATTGGCGGTTGTTCTGGCGAGTAAAGGAGGGGAGTGCGAAATGAACGCAGGTCGGAACGACTTGTGTGTTATTGCTGTTTCATTTCGAGCTACGCGTCCATGAATCGAGTTGAAATCCTCTCTTCAGGGTCCTCTGGCACGAAGCAGTGCGGCACTGAAGGATTTTTCCCGTGACCTCAACTGGCGTATTTGAAACAGCAATGCTATTTGCGGTCGTTGGGTCGATGTCTGAGCTGTGGAGGGCTTGCCGAGCAGCTCGTCGCTCGCGAGCAGAAAAAGATGTGCGGTCATGGGGTCGCGCGCTATCGTGCGGTCCACTGGCGAGAGCCCGTGACGACTGCAAAAGCGGCATCTCTTCAGATGGAGCACTGGGAGTTCTGGCTGTTCATGGCAGGGGGGCTGCGCTAGGGAAGAGAAAAAGGATGTTGGGAACAGTGGCACCGCCAGCTATTCCTCCCTTAATTGGCGGCCTGCCAGCCTGCGGGCCTTGTGGCTTTTCTGCGGTTGCCCGCTCGCATGTTCGTTTCATTATTATTCGTCTTCGTCTTCTCCTTGATGCATCTCTAGTTCTTTCTTGCAGTGGTATTGACCTCTCTATCTTCCCCTGGATGGTCGCGGGTTCCGGGCCCGGGGAGGGACCCGGGGCGCATGTTCGCATGGGGGGGCTTCGGAAACGGGGTCTGGGGCCTCCCGGACGACACAGGCCGTTCGACATCCTCTCAAGACAGTCCCCAGAGGCTTTTGGAACGCGCGAGCAAACCCAGAGAAAACACGCTCCCAAACAGCTCGCCACAATGGCCGCCAAGAAGCTCCCAAGATGGTGCCTGGGAAGCTCCAAGAGACAAAAACAGATTCCCCAACAGTGGTTGGGTTCTTTCTTGCGTTCCCGAATAGTTGGCTGGGTGGGCTGAGGTTACGCCACGTGCCTGCCCGTGGGCGCCTCGTGCGCGCCCCGTCCGCTGGCTGGGTGGTCCCGGGGTTTCGCCGCGTGCCCGCCCGTGAGCGCGCGGTGGGCTTGCACCACGTAGCCTGCATAGCTTACACGACATTGCTTGCACTTCCTAGCTTGCACCGCTGAATCGCGTACACCACATAGCTCACATCACTTATTGGTTTGCACTGCACGCCTTGCACCGCATTCCTTGCAACACAGAGCTTACAGAGCATAGCTTGCGCCGCACAGGTTGCTCCACAGCTTAAATGATTGTTCTTGTAAAGTGCACTGCTGATAGGGAGTTGTCGGTCTGTGTTCTCTGCTTAAGCGCTTTATTTGTTTTGACAATGTATGGGTTCTTCCAGGGGTCCTCCGTGGTTCTCTGTCCACCTAGTGGTTGGGTTCTGCAGGGTTCTCTTGCACGTTTTTCGAATCCGTCGAAAGCGAGGCTCTCGCTTGACACATCTTCCAACAATGGGAATCGCGGAGGATATCAACCGATGTCTCGATGAAAGTTTGGACTTGAGGGCCAGTGTAGGAGCAACGACCTGGGGGTCGTGCTCCGGCGCGTATCCAGTGGGAAGTCGCGAAGTGCGATGCCTGAGGGTCGTCCTCCGGCTTGAAAGATCTCTGGCAAGTTGTCCCCCTGAGGACCCAAGGAGAGCCCAAGAACGTCCCAAGAAGTTGCTCACCACGAAGCAGCCACCGTTGCAAAGTCCATTGGTTATCGAGATGTGTCGATGAACATTCTCTACTTGCGCACGAAAGGTGAGCGTAGTCCCACCAACTTTGAATCGAGGCAGGCAGGGCGTTGCTGTTCGGGCCCTACATGCGGTCGGAGGTGTGGCATTGGCGGTGAGCATAGCTCAGCCCACGACGATCTGTGATCTGTCTATACGCGGTGTGCAGACATATTGCGGTGAATGGGCGCGTGCATGTGCACAGTTGTGTTGACGTCATTTCGTATCCACTTGCCTGCGGCAAGTAAGTCCCGCCACCGTGCCAGCCCAGCGATTCGGGTGGTAACTCTTCGAATTATGACGTTGATGGTGATGGTGATGATGATGACGATTGCGACGGCGACGATGACGATCAGGAGGGGGAGGAGGAGGAGGATGAGGAGGAAGGAAGGCTGCCGCATGTGGCGCTTTTCGTTTTTAATTCGTTTGAAGTTCTCATGGAGCTCACTTGGGCCGTCTCAGGGCTGCCGTGGGGCGTGAGAAACCCAGCCAGATAGTTTTTGAGATTCTCCCACGCCTCAACGTTCCAGGGGGCACGGTGGCGGATACATGTATCCAGGCTTCCAACGGCATGTTTGTCTTCAGTCGTCGCACGGCACTCATTGGGCATGCCTAAACTTGTAGCTCTGATTGCCGTTGCATCGTTGTAGCGAATGTGTTTGCTTTGGCTGTGGGCTTGGATTTGAGTGCGCGCCTGCAGCGGTAGTGAGCGTAGCTCAGCCGGTCAATTTTGCAATTTGTCTCAGCTTCATTCAACCACGATTCTGTGCTCGCAATCATGGTTGCGAAGAGGCCTGCGTCCGCGACGCCGATGAAACGGCCAGCGGCGCGATCGCGCCCCGCGGTCGGCGACGGGCGCGCGACGCATCATCAACGCGTTGCGTCCAACGACGCCGCGTTGGAGGGCGCCGCCGAAGACGCTCAGAGATGGGGTCTGTCCAGTTTCCGCGCGCGTCAGAAAGACCTGCCGCTGTCGCTGATGAGTAAGGCATGGACGTCGGCCGGCACGGCGAGGAGGCGACGGGCGAAAAGGAGAAGAAACCTCTTAGGGGCCTCTTGGGCTGGCTTGGGCCATCGTGAGGCCATCTTGGGCCGTCTTGGGTGCATCTTGGGCCGTCTTGAAGGCATGTTGGGGCCATCTTAGCCGTCTTGGAGGTTATCTTGGCCGTCTTGGAGGCCATCCTGGGTCATCTTGGAGCCATGGTGAGGCCATCTTAGGCCATCTTGGGTGCATCTTGGGCCGTCTTAGCCGTCTTGGAGGCCATCTTGGTCGTCTTGGAGGCCTGTTGGGGCCCTCTGTCTGAAATCGAGGGCTCGTCAGAGCCCTGGTGCTCGCGTCTACTCGTAGACGATGATGAAAGCACCCGTTGCTTTCTGTGCAATGGCAGGCGCCCCTGGTCTGTGCCTGTCTCGCCCTGCTCACAGGGCTGAATAATGAAACCCGCCCACCCGCTGCCGAGCCTGAGAGGCTGCGGGACGGGCGCAACATGTGCCGCAAGCCTACTCCTCACGAACGCGCACGTCCTCGCAATCAAACAGGGGGGAAAGAAATCGGCTTGAGCACGTCGCTGGTAGTCGAGGCTGAGGAGCGGTCCCGCTTCCTGCTGTCGAGGATCCTCTTGGCCTCGGCGTGGTCCTGGTCGGTCGTCTTGTCGAAGATGCTCTTCCCGAGGGCTGATCTCTTTCGAGTTGAAAGAAACCGGTCGTCATGAACAATCTTCCACCTCTGCTTCTTCAGGAAGGCGTGGAGCACGTGGAAGGCCTGGAGGCTGGCCTTTGTCATGCCATCTGCCAGCTGGGCATGGCCGTGCACCCAGCGGACGATGGTGCTGCCCTCCTCGAGGGCTCGGCGGAGAGCGAGGGCTTCGATAGCCGTCCGCCTCTCGCCCAGACCCAGCCCAGCCGACTCGGACTTCACCGCGCCGTCGTAGAATGCCTTGCAGTCCGTCACGAGGGCCGCAGGCACCTGTCGTAGGGCATCGCGTCGGTCGTGGAGACTGAGGGTGCCGACGAGCACCTCATGTAAGACCAGTCGGACCATCATTTGCTCGCCCTCGGCGTCGCTGGCCTCCTGGATCTCGGCAGCTAAGCTGGACCTTGCCACCCTCTTCAGCTTGCGTGATCCCCAATCCCAGACTGTGAAGTCGCTGGCTTGACGAAAGGGTTCTTCTGCTGAGCTAATGGCTGTCACATGTCCTCCTTGGGAATTTCCGTCAGGTCGGCTGGCCCAGGAAACGCACCAGGTGCAGATACGAAAGTTTGGGTGAGCCTGTCCGCACCCAGGCAGAGCGTGCCAAAATGTTTGAGAGAGCGTGATCCACCGCCGCTTTACTGTGGAAAATTCTCCCCCCCCCTCTTCCTCTGGAACCCGGGGGTCTCCCCCCCCCCTCCGAAAATCCATCCCCCCTGCTGGAACCACCCCCCCCCCTTCCCCTGCAAAACCCCCCCCCCTCCCCTAACCCTCCCCCCCCCTCCCCCTCGAAAACCCGGGGGGGCACTACCGGTTCGAACCCCCCCCCCTTGAAAACCGGAGGAGGGGTCACTACCGGTTCGAACCCCACCCCACCCCACCCCTCACCGCCAGCAAACGACTCCCGGTCCCTACCGCCGTCCTCACCACACCACTGTCCCACTGTCCCCTCACCACTGTCCCCACCACCACCGTCCCCACCACTGTCCGCACTCCCCCCCTGTTTTCGAGGGAGGGGGGGCGGTTCGAACCGGTAGTGACCCCCCCCTTTTCATGATGGACTGGGGGGGGGGGAAGGGTTCGAACCGGTAGTGACCCCCCCGGGTTTTCCGAAGGGGGGGGGGTCGAACCAGTAGTGACCCCCCCCGGTTTTCCGCCAGCAGCGGTAGAACATGCTCTTTCAAATGTTTGAATCCCATCTGCCCCGTTATGACCATCTTGGTGATATTGTTGGCGATCCCAAATAGTTTGTAGTCCCCGTTGGGTATTTTGCTCTGAACGTCGGCTACCCATGTCGAAACCCACTGTAGAGCATTCACCCCCAACCAGGAAAGAAATCCACACCATGTCCGTAGAGTGCTCTGATCCGCCTCTGTCAGCTTGTCTGTAGAGCGGGCCTTGAGGTACTTCGGGGCGATCTCCTTCAGCTTGTCGATGTAGCTCTGTTGGTGCTGGAAGGATCCCTTCTCGTTGCTCACGATCGTGACCCCGCATTGCTCGATGGAGTTCGCGCCTTCATCCATGTCCTCCCAGGTGCCCCAGGTGCATAGCTCCTTGATGCCCTTCATGGTGGCTCTCCAAGCAGGATGTCCGCGGTCCCCGCAGAGGATGAAGTCATCCACGTGGCACATCACCAGGCCCAGTAGCGCGTTGGATTTGGAACACCGCAAGCACCACAGACAAGGCTCCAGATCGCAGGCAAGGCTTCTCAAAGTCGGTCTTCACCGTTTGCCACCACTTCCGAGGAGCTTCGCCGATACCGCAGCCCGGCTTCACGACCCAGAGTACTTCATGCGGCTGTACTCCGAAGGTGGAAGAGAGAGCCTCGTCCGCTTCCACGAAGAGATCCTTTTGGAGGTCGTAGGCCTGGAGGAAGGCGCTCGTCACGTCGCCCTTCGCGATGCTCGAGGAGTTCGCTGCCGCGACGGTCAGCAGGATGCTTCGAGCTCTCCTCGAAGCTGTCGGAGAAGCTGTCGGTTCATTCCCGACGTCCTTGGTCTGGTAGCCGAGGAGGACGAGGTAGGCC